ACAAATTTAGAAAAAAATTTTAATCAAAAAAATTATTTACAAATTTTTGGTGAACTCTTTAAATATTAATTTTAAGCCTACTCCCACCTATTGAATACAAACCATGTACAGGATGCCATCTTAATTTAAACAGAATTAACCAAATATGTATTATTAACACATCGGTAATTATTTCTGCAACATTCCTAGCTAGAAAAACCTTTAACAATTTTAAACTCAATGCTAATTACATTGACCTTATATACTCAACAGCTATTAAACATCCTTTATATATATCTTTCATATCTGCTGATATTATCATACACAACTCTAGCATTTTAGAAACCTTTAAACCAAACAGCTGCACTCACAAACTTCAAGACATTTATTTATCTAATTCTATAAATAATAACTTTACTTTTTACACTGATGGTTCTGTGATTGATATTAGATCAAAACAATGCTCTATGGATATTGGATAGGTTCACATTAATGAACAAAATCAAATTATCCATAAATTTTTAGTCCAAGTCCATTTATAGCCATCATTTTATAAAGCTGAATTAGTCTCAATTATATTTGCAATTTCTACTACACCTTGCAATTCATCTATTAGCATATATACACACTTACAATCTGTTATTTCAAAATTTCACACACTATCGAACCAATTACAAAATCCTAACAAGTTATTTAAGTTTAGTACATGGCTCTTATAGCATATCTTACTTAATATTATTAAATCTTTTAACCTTCAAATTACCTTTTACAAAGTTCAAGCCCATACTGATAATCCTTTCAACAACCTCGCTGACTCCTTAGCAAAACAACATATACTTCTTCAACCTCTCATCTTTAATTATACTATTATCTATAATCCTTATCATATTTTTCAATAGGAACAAAACTTCATCGAACTACCAACTAGATATTTTATCAAAAATATATGCAAAGCATATATACTAGCAATGTGGTCTTTACAAAAAAGAAACAGTGAATAGTCTCATCTAAACCACCTCATAGACTGGACCTCCTTTTGGCTTTATCTTAATCATAACCAAAAACCTACATCTTTTCATACCAATTTTAAACTTAATCAACTCAAAGCTTTCAAATCTAAATTCTTACTAAATGAGTTACCTACTCAATTCTTTCTTCATAACAGATATCCTCATATCTTTACCAACACTAATTGCTTCAAATGCAATCTTCCTAACTCATTTATACACTGGCACATATGCTCTAATATACATAATACTCTCCTTAATATCATTCATACATCTGTTAATCAAATACTTTTCAAGACTGAACTGGACCTATCACCTTCTCAACTTCATAAACTTGGTTCCAATATATGCCATCACCCATGCTTTGATTGCATATCATTTCAATACAATCTACATTTTATAGACATTACACTTAAAGGACTTATACCTAAATCACTTATTGAAGTCATTTGCAACTTTAATATACCTTCGCAATTAGCTTTACAAATAGTAATTCAAACACTTCTACATATTAACAAACAAATCTATGAACTAATTTGGAAACCATACTGCATTGAATTTTTCAATTGAAAAAAATATAACCAAATTCTACCAAGATACTAAAATAATGCTAGTAACACTAATATACAATATCCAAATCATAAAGTCTCAAAACAACAACACCAAGCTTACACATACTCATGCCTATATGGCATTGCAGATCAACTTCATTTACAATCCAATATATGTTCACCAATCAGTCAAGCAATTAGAAAAATCAACATCTGGTCAATTCTCTGGATTAAATACAATATTCCCTCTAACTATATACTAACACTCCAAATCTAGGTGGGCCTTGACCATCATAGTCAGTTTAGGTCACAGATAAACTAGTCTGAGCTCTTATTCTTACATGTAATTTTTATTTTATTATAGACAACCTTAGTTTATTTTAATACTTCTGTTCTAAAATATACAGTTAAAATTATTAATAAAGATATAAGCAAGGCCTTACCTTAACACCAAAAAAAAATAAAATATTAATTTTAAGCCTATAGTTCTTAATACAATATTTTAGTTTATATAAAGAATGTCAATTTTTATTAGTAACACTTTTGCAATTTACTTATAAAAATTTAGACTTGTACAAAGTATAAAATGTTTTTTTAGCTTTAGAAATATATAAAATTTTAAAAAATTATAAAAAATTTTTAATAGTAAAAATTTTTTAATATAATCTTTAAAATTTTAATATATAAAAGTTTATTAATATTTTGAAATAAGTTTTATAATAAAGTTTATAAAATATGTTTTTAAGAAAATATTTCATAAGCAAAGTATACCCCATATTATTAATAAATTATTATTTTATTTAAAAAATACTAAATACAATTTAATTTTCCAGACAAATTTGTCTGGAATATAGTTTAAGAGATAATTAATAAAATATAAAAATAAGAATAATAATTCTAGTATAGTAGTTAAATTGTTATTCTTTAAGCAGTAAATTCAAAATTCAAATCCTATTAGCAATAGAATTTTGAAAAAATAGTTTTATTATAACAACTTGAACAAAATATTTGAAGTTGTAACTCTGTAATTCTAATTGTACTAAAACTAATTTTAAGGATATATAATATTATACAAATAAATTTAAAAAATATATACTTTATAAGAGTCTTGTTTAAAAATTTTAAATAAAAAAATAATATAATTTTTAATAATATTATTTATAAAAATCTTGATTTAAAAAAGAAAATCTAAAACAATTAACTTGTATTAGCAAAAACTCTTAGATAAAAAAATCTATTAATCTAACTACTAGTTGATTTAAATATAAAATTATATTATACAAAATTTATTGAATTGGTAATATAGAAGTACATATCATTTCACTAACAATCAATTCACCAAATATTTCATTTTACCAATAATCAATTCACTAATAATTTTACTATTATTAAAATTAAAAAAACTTACTTTACAACTTTTACTTAAAGATTAAAAGTTGTTTACTTAATATTTTTTTCAAAAAATATTAAATATAAAAAAAATTTGTAAAAATTTATAACTAATTATAATATTGTACTTTACCTTTAAAGCTGGGTTAAGATTAAGATTACTTTTTTAATACAGTTAATGTATTAATATATAGATATAATATTAAAAATACTATTTATGCAGTATATAGATTAATATGTGAATCTGCCTTGCTTTAAAGGATTCCTAAAAAAAGAAATTTGAAAAATGGGTTGGTAATATCGGTCTTGTACATATATCATACTAACTTAAATTTGTCAGTATTAATTGTCACGGCTGATGCTGAATTTGGCTAATGCTGACGTTCACGTAACATAATAAAAAAATTTGTTATCATATACAAAGTTCATTTATGTTAGAGTTAACGTTTAAATTAGTGTTAGAGGTTATATTAAGGTTAGAGGTCAGTGAACTATATAATAAATTACAAAGAAAAACTTTTTTTGCTAATGCATTAATTTTTGATGTTTTCAAAATTAACGTTTGTTTTTGAATTTTCTAATCACGACTTACTATTGGCAGAACTTCAAAATCAGCATCAGCCGTGACATTAATTAGCCAAACATATTTAAAATCATCTGAGTGATAGTCAATAAAAAGGAACTTCTTTCATGCTAAATACGTGTAAAAGAAGAAAAAAGTGAAAATACTCAAAAGCTAGTGTTTAAATTAGCATTGCTGCACTAATTAAAAATGTTGAAAACGAAATTCTATATGCAATAAGCAATAGCTATGGCTATAGCTTCTAATGTTAACGTTCTAACTCTAAATTTGTGTTTTTACACAGTTTATTTACAAAATCAAATTTCCTTTTTAGGTTGTATTACCGGCACAATTGGGATCAGAGAAATATCTAGCTAACTAGATTTATCCTCGTTCAAAATTGACGATCAATCACGGGCAAATTCACGAGAAATAGTTTAATACACATAATTATTTAAAAAAAGAACTTTTGAGCATTTATTATAATTACTAATTAATATTACTAATTTTCATATTCTTACATATCATTTTTTTCCATAACCTACATTTTGTTGTTTTTAATATACGTATTTACATAACATTAATTTTCAAAAACCTCAAATACCCATTCCAAATCTACCAAAACCTCCTAGAAGTGGTATAAGTAAAGGAGTGATGGTTCCGGGAATTTCACGTTTAACGAATCCTGTGACTTTATTTTCACCACGTTTTTGCTTATCGTCATCTTCATCACGTTTCTTAAGAAGCGCACCACCTGATGCATGAGAACTTCCGAACTCGGAATTAAATCCGCCAAATCCGAGGGTATTGCCAAAGGTGCCAAAACCGGTGCCAAAACTAGATCCAAAACCGATACCAGATCCAAAAGCAGAAAGTGGAATGCCAATTAATCGTTTTTTAAGGGGCATGGTAGACGCGGTTGGAGCGTTGGTCGCTGATTGCGCACCAATCGGTGCAGCAATCGTGGAAACGGTGAAAACTGAGATAATGGTCATTAGGGAGAAAAGTAAAATGAAAGCTTTTTTAATAATGTTGAAATACATTTTTATTTTGTTTTTTTTTAATTTAATTTTTTTTTTGCCTGGAGAAAAGATTTGGAGTTTCAGAGTTTTATACTTTTTGGGCATACTAAACAACAAACGTGAAACAATCAAATAGAGATCATTGATGCTTTTTTACTCATGCGCAAAGTCGCGATCTTTATGTAACACTGAAAATATTTTTGTATGATCTGTTTCGTTGAAGCGCATTACTTTAGTGCATAATTAGAAGATTATTATGCAAACGTTTCGTATTAATAATTGTATGCATATGATTATCATTGCAAATAATCTAGTCGTTGAATTTTGACAATAGATCACAATATGCCATGCGTCGGAGTCAGGCTTAAGTTGATTCTGAGATACGTCAGATCAGTTTATCATCATGCGTCAAATTCAAATGTGCATAATGAATGCAGTATAATAATAATATAATAATAATAATAATTGTTGGGAATGGGAATGAAAACTTTTATGTTTTACGAAACCTTCCAAATGTTCGGTTTGCGGTTCAACTGATCCTTATTTGGGTTTAATATTTAAATATCCGTGTTTTATCAATCGATCAGTTACATAGTAAAGCCGACTTAGTCGAATTAGGGATGGATCAGTCCTGAAAAGATCGAATAAGGACTGGTCTTTTTAACTAGTCTTAGTCCAGGTCCTCATGAATAATTAGCTAGTTAAAAATATGTTATATAATCTTTTATTTTCAATTACCTAGAGGTTTAAAAATTAAGGACCGTTATTGGGACCGGGAATGGACCGAAAAACCGGTCTTCTTAGGACTGGACGGACTGGACCGGACTTTTCCATCCCTAAGTCGACCAAGTCATTGTAATAAAAATAGTCGGAATAGGAGGATGAATATCGGGGAATTCGAAGACATATCTGTATATCACGATCGAGTTGACATAGACGACTTAGTTGGTTTTTAAATATCGGCTTAGTCGAATCGAAAAATTTAAGTCGACTACAATCATCCTAAGGGTTTATCTAAAGTTTGTTGATATCATAGGCAGAAGTTTGTTTGATTGGCTAATAAATTAAATTAAATTTTACATTATTTATACAGTTTAGAGTACTTTTTAAAAAAATGAATCTAATCATAATGAAATAAGAAAAGCTGTATAGAAGGTTCATTAGAGCTGTAGGACTCCATAGCCAAAAATAAGATCTAATTCTTGTCCGTTTAAGGGTAGAGTACAACGTAGATCATTTCTATATATAATTAGTTACGAAAAAAATTTTATACGTATAGTAACTACAAAATATATTACTAATAAAACTTTTTTATTTTTTAATTAATTAATAAAAAAATTTTATATTATTATAGTAAAATTTTGAACTATTATATTATTTTAAAAAAATATACTTGTATATATGATAAAGTTTGTTAAGTTGATTAAAATTTGTCTAAGTAGTACAAAATTGAATAA